TCCTCCTCCTCCTCCTCCTCCTCCTCCTCCTCCTCCTCCTGGCCAAGAGAGCCCCTGGGAGGGGCCCCACGCCTAGCGCCTGGAGAGAATCACGACTGCCTGGGGCGTCCCGGTGCCGGGCCCCCCATGGAGGCCCGCTCGCGGGCCCCAGGACTAGGTCGGGCCTCCTACAGGCGAGTTTGGAAGAAAACGAGAAAAGAGTCGGAAAATAATGAAAAACAATTGGCCTGACGAAGGACCCAACCATACGCAACTGTGGATACAGCAATTGTGAATACCATCTTCGCCCGCGCTCCCTATGTGGCCACGGCTTCCCGCCGGAGCCCGACATACTCGGGGACACGTTTGTGGCCGTCTTCGCGGGCGCCGACGACCACGAGGACGGCGCCCCCCTGACCGAAGAGCAGAAACAGGAAAGGGTTCTGAGAGCCATGAGGGAGACTGCCATTGGCGCCTTCGGTGGAGCTCCCTATGGGGCCACGATCCTCGTGAGGGGTGAGCCGAAATGGCCCGAGGCCGCCATGCGAACGCAGCCACTGGGGCCTTCGGTGGAGCTCCCTATGGGGCCACGATCCTCGTCAGGGGTGCGCTGAAATGGCCCGAGGCCGCCATGCGAAACCTGCCACTGGGGCCTTCGATGGAGCTCCCTATGGGGCCACGATCCTCGTGAGGGGTGTGCCCAAATGGGGCGGGGCCGTCATGCGAACGCTGCCACTGGGGCCTTCGGTGGAGCTCCCTTATGGGGCCACGATCCTCGTGAGGGGTGTGCCGAAATGGCCCAGGCCGCCATGCGAACGCTGCCACTGGGGCCTTCGGTGGAGCTCCCGATGGGGCCACGATCCTCGTGAGTGGTGTGCCGAAATGGCCCAGGCCGCCATGCGAACGCTGCCACTGGAGCCTTCGGTGGAGCTCCCTTGGGGCCACGATCCTCGTGAGGGGTGTGCCGAAATGGCCCCGGGCCGCCATGCGAACGCTGCCACTGGCGCCTTCGGTGGAGCTCCCTATGGGGCCACGATCCTCGTGAGGGGTGTGCCGAAATGGCCCAGGCCGCCATGCGAACGCTGCCACTGGGGCCTTCGGTGGAGCTCCCTATGGGGCCACGATCCTCGTGAGGGGTGCGCCGAAATGGCCCGGGGCCGCCATGCGAACGCAGCCACTGGGGCCTTCGGTGGAGCTCCCTATGGGGCCACGATCCTCGTGAGGGGTGCGCCAAAATGGGGGGGGGCCCACATGCGAACGCAGCCACTGGGGCCTTCGTTGGAGCTCCCTATGGGGCCACGATCCTCGTGAGGGGTGTGCCGAAATGGGGCGGGGCCGCCATGCGAACGCTGCCACTGGGGCCTTCGGTGGAGCTCCCTATGGGGCCACAATCCTCGTGAGGGGTGTGCCGAAATGCGGCGGGGCCGCCATGCGAACGCTGCCACTGGTGCCTTCGGTGGAGCTCACAATGGGGCCACGATCCTCGTGAGGGGTGCGCCGAAATGGGGCGGGGCCGCCATGCGAACGCAGCCACTGGGGCCTTCAGTGGACCTCCCTATGGGGCCACGGAACGCTGCACTGGGTGGGCGAAACGCAGGGAGGAGGGGGGAGGAGGGGGAGGAGGAGGAGGGCAGACGCGGGCCACCGTCTCTTCAAAACGAGGACCCAACACCACAGGATGGTTGGGAAAAAACACACACACACACACACACACACACATATAGTGTTTAATGAATAATATTTTTAACACCAAAAAAAAACTCCCCATACTATTGTTACTACTTTTGAACACTGCTCCTGCGGAGGGAGACGCCCGACTTAACCCCTGAGCCCCCACAAGAGGGCCCGGCCCCGAGGGGCGTGCCCTGCAGATGGGGCCCGAGAGCTCCGGGTTCCCCCTGCTTGAAAAAATCCGCCGTGCGAGGCGGGGATCTATCCACATCCACCGCCCGTGGAACCGACGCTCTGAGAGCCCAGCGGGCGGTGTATATGGATCTAGCTGGGCACCAGAGGGCCCTAATATGTCCACATCCACCGCCCGTCGAGGTCTCCGACTATTGATCCTCCAGCCCGTGGAAATATACATATAATATATATATATATATATACATATATATGTGTGTGTATATATATACATATATATACACACACGCACACATACGCATATGTATATATAATCATATCTATATATATGAATACAGACGTACATCGATATACACACATACACACATACACACATACACATAAATAAACATACAAACAGACAGACAGACAGGCAGGCAGCCATATGTACGTACATACATAGACACACATATATATATATACATATATCTACATATATGTATATACATACATACAAACATACATACATACATACATGCATACACACACACATACATACATTCATGCATGCATGAATACAGATTTGCATATCTACATACGTACACACATACAGACATGCGTACATACGTATGTGTGTATAGATGCATATGTACATACATATATGCATACATACATACATACGTACGTACATACATACATACGTGCATGCACACGTACATACATGCGTACATGCATATATACACATGTAGACAATCATAAATATGTATACACCGACATGCTTACATACATACATACATGCATGCATACTTGCATGTATACATATGTGTTTATATGTGTATATGTGTATATACATATATATGTTATGCATGTATACATGCATGCACATGTACATACATACATACATGCATGCATGCATACATACATACATACATACATGCATACATACATGCATGCATACATGCACACACTTACATACATACATACATGCATACATACACACATGCATGCATGCATACATACATATGTATATATACATGCATGCATGCATACATGCATACATACGCACCCATGCATGCATACATGCATACACTGATAGATATATATATATATATAGATGCATACATACATGCATGCATACATAAAGACAGACAGGCAGACAGACAGACAGGCATACATACATGCATGTGTGCATACATACATAGATGCATATACACGCATACCTAGATAGAGGTATGTATCTATGTATATAGTCAAATATATACACATATTTATATATATGTGTGTATGTATGTATATCCCCGCCTCGGGCGCCGACCATTCGGCGTGTGGAGGAGGCTGGATCGTCGTCGTCGTCGTTGTCGTCATCGCCAGGCCTTTACAATAAGAGGGGCCATGAACACGCTCCCCCTCCTCCTCCTCTCCCTCCTCCTCCCCTCCTCCTCCTCCTCCTCCCTCCTCCTCCCTCCTCCTCCTCCTCCTCCTCCTCCTCCTCCTCCTCCTCCTCCTCCTCCTCCCTCCTCCTCCTCCCCCTCCTCCCCCCCCTCCTTCTCCTCCTCCTCCTCCTTCTCCTCCTCCTTCCCCTCTTCCTCCTCCTCCTCCTCCCCTCCTCCTCCTCCTCCTCCTCCTCCTCCTCTCCTCCTCCCTCCTCCTCCCCCTCTTTCTCCTCCTCCTCCTCCTTCTCCTCCTCATCCTCCTCCTCCTCCTCCCTCCTCCTCCTCTGGAAGATGTGGCGTTACAGCCGAAACGGGGCCACAAAAAGTTCGGTGGCAACTCGTGGGAGCCTCCCATACCATCTTGTCGGCTCTTGCGAATCGACGCTGATCGACGCTAGTCGACGCTAACCGACGCTAGATCGGCGCTATCTCATCGACTCTCGGACGCTAATCGACGCTAATCGACGCTGAAGACGGAATTAAGAGGGTACTCCGAGTTTCTTAATAAGCGTCGGGGGGGCGTCACCCCCGCCGACAGCCCCACATCGACCCCCGTCGCGGGCAGCCACCGCGCGCCGAAGGCGCTCCGACCCCCGTCGCAGCGCGACGAAGAAGCGAGGTTGACCCCCCTAAGGGGGGTACCCCCCCCACGCTTATTAAGAAACCCAGAGTACGCCAGGCTCCCATTATTTGCTTCCGAGAATAAGGGCGCGCGTGCCCGCGGAAGCCCTTCAGCGTGTCGGGAGCGCGGTGCTCCCAGGCTGTCGGCGCGGATCCACGCAGGGCGGCTCCTCCTTCACTAAGAGGCCTCCTGGATGGGGTCGGACAAGATGGGGTTGGAGGATCGCGACGCATAGCCGATGCATCGGCGATGTGTCGGCGATGCACCAGCGATGCGTCGTCGACGTCGGCGATGCATCGGCGACGTCGACGTGAAGCAAGTCGGGCTTCTCATCGAACCGCACTGGCAATGCATCGGCGACGTGGCGCGGTCCTCGACCCCATCTACTCCGACCCCATCTAGGGGGCCTGGACTCATTCTCCACCCCCCGCCCGAGGTCCCCAGGGATCTCAGGTCTCCCCGAAGGATCGCGATCGCGATCCTCCGACCCCATCTTGTCCGACGCCAACCAGGAGGCCTCTAGTGAAGGAGGAGCCGCCCTGCGTGGACCCGCGCCGGCAGCCTGGGAGCCTCCAGGTCGCCAGAGGCCTCCTGGTCCCCCCGAAGGATCCCGGAGGCCTCCAGGTCCCCAGAGGCCTCCGCGAGGCCCCCACAGGAGGCCCGGGAGAAGCCACGAGAGCCTCTCGAGGCTGCGGCCCTGGACCCCCCGCCCTCCTCCGGCGGCTGACCCCCGAGAAGCCCAGGAACAGGAGGAGGAGGAGGAGGGGGGGGAGGAGGAGGAGGAGGAGGAGGAGGAGGAGGAGGAGGTAGAGGAGGGGGAGGAGGAGGGAGGAGGAGGAGGAGGGGAGGAGGAGGGGGGAGGAGGAGGAGGGGAGGAGGGAGGAGGAGGAGGGAGGAGGAGGAGGTGGAGGAGGAGGAGGAGGAGGGAGGAGGAGGAGGAGGAGGAGGAGGAGGAGGAGGAGGAGGAGGAGGGGGAGGAGGAGGAAAGAGCCCCGAGAGATGGCCCCAGAGGGGCCAGGAGCCCGCCCCCCCCTCTCCTTCCCAGACGCGGCGCGGGGGGATGTGGACACGCCCAAGGTGGATGAGGAAAAAACAGTTACCCCGCGACGTACTCAACCCTTTCGCGGTGGTGGTCGCGTGGGACCCACCTCCGCTGGGCCTCCCAGGAGCCCACGAAAGTGGCGACAGTTGCGCAGATCGCAGCCCGACGGCACGAGAGAAGAGGAGAGGGGAACACAGGAAACAGGAAGAGGAGGAGGGGAGGAGGGGGGAGGAGAAGAAGGACGGGGCGACCACACTGCTCTATTCAAAGCGCGTACCCCAACCATAGGAGGGTTGGGAAGTATAAAATGCCCAACCACAAATTTTGTCCAAAACCGACAGCGGTCGCTGTTGAACAGGCGGCTTCCTGTTTTCAATGAACAGCGTCCGCGGGGGGCGCGGACAGCGAGTCCTGTTCAAAGTGAACAGGGCCTGCTGTTGGGTTGGGCACCGCACCCAGCATTTCCGTACTCCAGGTTTCGTAATAAAGGGAGGGGGGTCTCATTTCGGGGGGGTCTCTTCCAGGCTATCTTGGAGGGCCTGGGGGGGTCTGGGGACGACGTTTTGGAGGGTTCTCCCACGGGGGGGGTCTAAAACTTCTCGTCTGGGAAGATTGAGACCCCCTCTCTTTTATTACGAAATCTGGAGTACCAACTTCGATCGTTCCCAGGGAAGGAGCAGCGGCAGTCGCGTGTAGGAGCCTGTCCGGCCTTGTTGTCGCGCGAAGCGCCCAGCACCTGCATCATGCGGCGGAACGCGGCCCCGCCCTCCGCCGAGTCGGCGAATCCTGGGCCCCCGGCCTCAGGGGCCACCTCCCGGAAGAGGCCGGGGATGGCAAAGTTGGCGGCCAGGGCCGAGACGAAGATCGGCGGCGAGCGAGGGGGGGAAATGAGGAGGAGAAGGCCTTCTCAGAGGCGGCGCAACTTCTCAGAAGCCCTCGCGCCTTCTGGGAATTTTGTCGTTTCCTCGGAGGAAGCTTTGGAAACTTCTCAGAAGGCCACGGGACTTCACAACCTTCCGAGAAGAGCTTCTCCTTCTCACTTCCCCCCCTCGCTCGCCGCCGAGAAGATAGGGAAGCAGTGGCCGAAGCCCGTCGCGTTGAAGGCGACGACGTCGTTGGTCTCGTACTCGGCGCCCCGGTACGTGCCGTCGAAATATCTCAGCACTCCCACGGCGCTGGAGAGCAGGACGGCCAGCACGCCCACGGCGCTGGACCACTTCAGGAAGCCGAACGACTTGGCGCAGGAGAGGGGCCAGCAGATCGCTACGACGGCGATGGCCGCCGTCACCTGGCGGCGCGCCGGCGGGGTCGCGGGTCCGCTGCCAGGGCTCCCGGCTCCGCGCTCCGCGCTCCGCGAAGCGCGAGAGCGCGAACGACTTCGCGCTCTCGCGCCGCCCCCCCAAAGGGAGAAAAGGAGAACGAGGAGGAGGGGGAGAAGGAACGAGGACCGCGCAGCGCGAAGCGCGAACATAGGGAGAGGAAAAAACACACACACAGACACAATTAATCGTCGATTCCCAGAAAAATATGGGAAAGTATGGGAAGTGGGGGGGAAGACGAAAATCCAAAACTTATGGAACAAGATGGGGAATCCTTTTATTTGCGTGTATTTATTTGTGTGTCCCGGGGCCCCCATTTGAGAATACCTTCGCGCCCCCGTGGGAGCCCCTGCCGCTGCCACCCCCTCGCCCCGCGGAGCGCTCCGCCGGGCTCCTCGTGGCCAGAGGCCCGGCGCAGCTCGAGCAGGCTCGCCGGGCGGGGCCCCGGGAGGGCCTCATCGGGAGCGGCCAAGGAGGGGGGCGTCCAAGAGGGGGGGGGTGCAAATCAGGAGGGGGGTGTCCAGGAGGGGGGTGTCCAGGAGGGGGGTGTCCAGGAGGGGGGGGGGGTCCAGGAGGGGGGTGTCCAGGAGGGGGGGTTCAGCGGGAGCGGCCAAGGAGGGGGGCGTCCAGGAGGGGGGGGGTGCAGATCATGGCCGGCGGCATGTGCGCAGCCGAGCGGGGGGGCCAGGGACGCAATGAAACAAGAAGAGGCTCCATGCAATCTGGGGAAATATCATGGCCCACGCCATGATATCGACCCCCCCTTGTCATCACCCCCGGTCCAGGGACCCGTCCTGACTACCTACCAGACCACCCCAACCCAACACGAAGACCCGAATTCGACCCGAATTTCGGGTTGGGGGGGGTACGGGTTCCATGTGTTTTTTCAGTGTTCCCCGACCCCTCCCAACCGGAAATGGAGGGCAAATTGAAGCCATCCGGTCGGGTTTGGCTGGTTTGGTGAGTGGTGACGTCCTGAGCGGGCTCTGCCCGGAAGGGGGGGGACGAGCGAAAGAAAGGGACGGCCATTCTGAGAAGGCCGGGGGCGTCCCAGAGTCGTGCGGGGGGCTCCTGAGAAGGCTTCGGAGGAGGCAGGAGGGCTTCTGAGAAGCGCCGTTGCCTTCTTCAGGACCAAGCCTCCTGGGCCACCCCCTTCTGCGCGCCGCCGAGTCACTCTGGGAGTCGCCCAGGCGCTGGCGGAAGGAACAAACTTGCAGACCAGGCTGCAGAGGAAGTCTCCGAGCGCGATGGGATAGGCCGCGAGGACTCCCATGGTGAAGACCAGGCACCTTGCAAGAGAGGCGAAGTATACGAGCAAATCTGGTGCGGTCTACTCACGAGCTCTGGAGCAGCTGGGCTGGCAAACTCAGAAGGAGGTGCAGGATGTGGCGAACGTCTCTGACGCTGTGCAAACAGCTGGAAAAGTTTGTCCGCCACCGTGTCCTCGGCGTGCTGGGGTGTGTCGGAATGCATATTGCAATCAAAACTGACAGTAAGGATGCACGGTAAGGATGCAAGCCCATTGTACGCCCATGTCGAGGCTCTTCGAGCGGGGCTGGCCTTCGAAAGTGGTTCAGGGCGGACCAGAGCCGCAAGGATGCGAAGGGTACCCTTGGGAAGGCGACCCCTCCCTACCATCGTTTTCGACTGTAGCAGCCGTCTGGCTGGGCGTCTGCAGTCCTCCGGGAACGGCTCCGAGCTGCTCGCGCCACCGCTGCCACGCCGCCCCCGTTCGTGCACCGCCGCCCGGCGCCGTCCTCGAGCCGGAGACGTCCTCTCAGGACGGCCCAAGACCGTCCGGCCGCGCGCTGCCCGAAGGCTCGCCCTGGGCGGCCCCACATCCGCCCAGAGACACCGAGACGTCTTCCAGCCGCCCTGGGAGGCCCCAGAAGAATTCCCGAAGGCGCCCCCCCAGGGAGCCTTCCGACAGGGCCCTGGGAAGACACGGTCGTGCAACAGACCTCAGGCTGTTCAGTGAGTCTTGCTTTCCAAGCGATTCGGCCCAAAGATGGGTGCAAGAAGGCTTCACGGAAGGTCACGAGATGGCCTGAGAGGTCCCGAGAGGCCCCCGAGTCGGAGAAACCCCCAAGACGCCGCCTCGAGAGGATTCCAACCAGGACTCGTCCAGATGGCCACACGAGGGTTCTCCCAAGCGGCTTCGCAAGAGCTCCGTGGAGCCCTCGCGCCAAAGATGGCCCCAGGACACCCCACAGGCACCCAGAGGGCCCCTCTCAGAAGACCACATGCGGACCCCGAGGAAGCCCCAGAAGAAGCCCGTGAGAGGCCGCCAAGATGCCAACTGTAGGCCCTATAGACAACGCGACAGCCGCGCACTCCTGCGGCCACGCCACGCCGCAGCATCGCAGTGATGCTTCCATGTCGGCCCCAAGAATGTCCTCCTCCTCATCATCATCATCCTCCTCCTCCTCCTCCCCCTACTCCTCCTCCTCCTCCTCCTCCTCCTCCTCCTCCTCCTCCGCCTCCTCATCATCATCATCATCATCATCATCATCATCTTCATCATCATCATCATCATCAGCAGCAGCATCATCAGCGCAGCACCCACATCATCAGCATCAGCATCAGCATCAGCATCAGCATCAGCATCATCATCATCATCATCAGCATCATCATCATCATCATCATCACCACCACCACCACCACCACCATCATCATCATCATCATCATCATCATCATCATCATCATCATCATCCACCTCCTCCTCCTCCTCCTCCTCGGCGGAACCGTCCTGCATGGATGTCGAAGCTGCGCTGGCACGGTGGCGTGGCTTGCTGCAGGGTAGCTTGCGTGAGAACATTGCATGACTCGGGCGCCCAGAATTTGCAGTCTTCTGTCCAGCGTGCTTGCTCAGCCAGCGGCAGAGGCGGGGTGGCCAGCAATGCTAGCACGAGCCCCTCCTGGGGAAACCAAGAAATACAGATACCGCTACTCCCCGGACCTCTCCCGGAGTGCGCTCTGACCATGATCTCGAGGCGAATCCAGCGGTGTCAACGAGGGCCACCCAGGAGGCCCAAAAAGAGGAAAACGAGGGAAGGGTATGGGTATGGGAATCTGTTGTTCCTCTGACCTCCTCCCCCCCCTCCTTCCGCCTCCCTTCCCCTCCGGGCTCTGCCTGTTGGGCGCAGGGGCAGCCCGCGCGCGCGAGCTGCCCGACGGGGGCGGGGCCCACGCATGCCCTCGGCCAGGGCCGCGCGCAGCAACCACGATCTCTTGCCACCAGGCCAAGCACTCGACTGGATCACACGAACACTTAAAAAAAGTTTCAAGCCTTGGCCAAGTGTAGGGGAACAAAAAATGACATAAGCATAAAAACTCGGAGGTCCGCGCGGGTATCTCGGATCGGCGCTGGGACCCCCCGGCGGCGCCTCCCGCGCAGCCCCTGGCGCGCTCCGCGCGCCAGGGAGGGGTCCCCAGCGCCGATCCGAGAAATCCGCGCGGACCTCTGTTTATGTCACTTTTGCTCCCCCAGAGTAGGCGGTGAAGCGTATAGGCTGTGTTGCCAAACGCCGACAGAGGATCCCAGGTTCGATCTTGTCACAATCGCGTGCCACGTCGAAGTGGACTACGGCCAAGTCGGCGGCTTCGGCTGGGTCCGCAGCAACAACTGGGACCACGGCAACAAGTCTGACCAGGGCAACAACAAGGACTACGTCTGGGACCACCACGAGAGGTGGGACTGCGTGGCAACGACTGGGACCACGGCGGCGACGACCGCCGTGGCCACGGCAGTAGATGGGACCACGGTAACGAACGGGACGACGGCTAAAAGCGGGATCGTAAGAACCACTGAGACTGTACAGGTGATCTAGGCAACCGCGGGGTGAGCTGGGTCATCACGGAGATGACCTGGGTCAACACGGATGTGGGCTGGGTCATCATGGAGGTGGTCTGGTCCGACACGAAAATGAGGTGGGTCAACACGGAATTGATGTGGGTCATCGTGGATGTAGGCTGGGTCATCATGAATGTGATATGGCCAACACGGAAGTGAGCTGGGCCAACACGGAAATGATCTGTGGCGAGCAGGGTCATCACGGAGGAGATCTGCGTCAACACTGCAGGGGCACACGGCAACAACTCGGACCACGGCAACAACGGGCACCACGGCAACGACTCGGACCACGGCAACACCTGGGACCACGACCACGGAAACGACTGGGACGACGACAGTGGCAACGATTGGGACCACCACGCCTCCTACGACCCCAACCATGGCGGCCACCGCAACTCCTCCGACGGCGGCCAGGACGACGGGAGGCACAGCCACGGGATGGGGCCCGCCCGCCGTCTCCTGCAGAAAGGCCGAGGAGGGACAGCGGATAGCCCGTCCCTCCGACCCGACAACGGGGGCAACGACCCCGACTACGGGGAGTGCGGAACCTGCCCGAGTTTCCCGGCGTCATGGCCTTCTGCAACGGCAGCGACGCCAGACCATCGTCGGTGCGTTTGTGGCGCCAGCGACGTCGCCACCAGCCTCGCCGCCTTGCCCCACCCCTCTGGAGACCCCCTCCGGCGCCCCCCCCCATCCCCGCTCCCCCCCGGAGGGGGGAAAAAAAACACACCCAAAAAAAAAAATGGAAACCAAAAAAAACATCGAGGGAAAAAGAATAAGCCCCGAGGGGAAGAGAGAGGGGGGGGGAAAACAGAAAATATCGAGCCCCCCTGCCCCCCCCCCCCAGGGGAAGGAAAACGAAACTCGAGGGAACAGCAAAAAGCCTCCGAGGGGAAGAAAAAAAGTTTCCAAGCCCCCGGGTCCCCCCCCCGCCCCCCCCCCCGGAGGGGAGGGGGAAAAAGTCCCCCTGACCTCCCCGAAGCCCCCCCAAAGGAGAAAAACAACAAAAACCACGGGGGGGGGATGGGGGGAAAGAAAAACAAAACAAAACAAAAAAAACGAGGACGCGGTGGCGGGGGGCGCCGAGGCCGAGGTGGTCGAGGGCGTCTGTCGTGTCTGGTTGCAGTGTCCTTAGCGTGTTAGAAACTCGCACTGGCGCACCACTGGCAAATAGTCCTGGTGGTGACTTGGGCAGTTCCCGGACACAAAAACGATAACTAAATGGCTATATTCGACCCGTCTTGAAACACTTGTTGCATCGGCGGCTAAGGAAAGGGTGACTGCACTGGCGATGAGAGGCTTAAACGGGAATGCTGTTAGAGCAAATAGTGCAACCATGCAAGAGGAGCGAGGAGAGGACGCGGCCGAAGAAAAACAGGGACGCGGCGGGCGGCTCAGGGGTCAGATCGCTCCCCGAGCGTGTGGCGCGGCCGGCCCCGCCGCTCGGCACACGGCGGCTGCTGCATCAGCGGGCCAGGGGCGGCGGGGTCCAGTGCGGGGAGACGAGTCCCGGGTGAAGGGTGCGTAGCGTAAGTGCTACAGCCGAAGCTGCGCAACCCCAGCACGGGTGCGCTCGGAGCCACCGGGCTGTCCCCGTCTTGAAACGCGGACGCCCAGGCCCAAGCGCGCGATGAAGGCGCAGCGGTGGTGCCTGGCGGGCAGGCCGCGAAAGCTGAATGCCGAGGCCACGACTGCAGCCAAGGACGAGCTGCGCGCTGAGGCCACTGCCGCACACCGCGTCGCCACCTACGCGGAAGGCCACGTTCACCTAATGGTGGCGTGGCAGCGAGCTCAAGGTAGCCATCATGGAACGCGGCGAGGGTCTCCAGAGGCTGAACACGGCCCACATGATGCCGCCCTGATTCTTTCACGACGCGAGCATGTCTTGCTCCGGCGCTCGTCGCCGAAGGGTCCTCAACGAGGCTGACGCTCACGCCGCCGCCCCAGTACGCGCCGAGGTCTTGCCGCGGGGCCTCTGTTGGAGACGCACGTCCTGCCCAAACACACGGTACAGAATCTTGTGGCGCATCGTTACCCGAGCGGCATGGTCAGAAAGCGCCCGCTACGGAGCATAGACTAGAAGACAGCCCTTGCACGGCCGATGCACATACAGTATTAGTATGTGTGGGCGGTGGCCATGAGGTAGTCATCAAAAAATCCACGCTGCCCCGCAAGCTGATGGACGAATACTGCAGCGGCATCGAGCTACGGGCCTCGCAGGCTCGTTTTACGGTCGCCGGCGAGCATGTCAAGCCTGACGACACCGCGGAGAAGCTCGAACTCGAGCACGCGGACGGACGCACTCGATATGGCAACGGAGCAGGCGGAGATGGGTAACGCGGAGAACACAGTGGGCACCGACACCACGACGATGCCTCGGGAGAAGTAGGTCTATTGATGTTGCAGGTGAAAGGGGCAGCAATAGCGCCAAAGTTGCGAAAGAAAATAGCAAGCAGGCAAAATGGTGTCGCCAAGGGCCACTACTTTAAAGCCAACGTGCTGGAGGAGGCTCTGCAGATGTGGGAACTGGACGTGAGCGACCTAGGCGCGCGGCTTCGGCAGAAGGCAATCGTTCGTAAATTCACAAATGGTAAATGCCGCGCTCTCTAATTGGCGCACAGTGGGGCAACTAGTCGGCTTTCCCACTGCACGTGAGTCAATAGAAGCAATATCTCATGTTACACCTCTTCCCTCTCGGTTCGTATTATTCCTCGCCCTGTGCCCTCCCTTCCCCCTAGGCCGTGTGATGCGAGATGTGTCGAGGACGACACCCATGCAATGCCACGTCGATTGTACCCTCGCTCTCGCCGTCGAGGTCGGCGAAGTGCATCTGTGGCTCATGGCGGGTTCGAGCGCCAATGTACGCTCGTTGCAGAAAGGTCTCTTCACCCCAACTCCTTCTCTCTGATGTTTCCTTTCCCTCTATACCAGGTTCGAGAGGAATGCCCAAACATCCCTGCGCCTGGCACGAGCCAGATCCGCGATCGGCCGTCCGCTACTACTACCCTTCTCCTCCCCCTCTCTCCTCCTCCTCCTCGTCCTCCCTCTTCCCCTCGACGACGACGACGACGACGACGACGACGACGACGACGCTGGCGACGGCGACGACGACGGCGACGACCCCTGACGGTCGCCGCAAGTCTTCGGAGGTCTCCGCGGGCCCCGACGAAAATGACCAGCCAGACACGTCGAAAAACCTACTAAAACCTAGATCCTCGAAAGTCGACGGCGACAACGACGACAATGACAACAGCGACGACGACGACGACGACGACGACGACGACGACGACGACGACGACGACGACGACGACGGCGCCGGCGCCGGCGCCGGCGGCGGCGGCGGCGGCGACGGGCCCCGAAGTGTCGACAGGTCGGTCCTCTATCGATCGACGACGGCGACGACGACGACGACAACGACGACCAGCCCCAAAGTGTCGACCGGTCGGTCCTCGATCCGTCGACGACGAGGACGGCGACGCCGCCGCCGACGCCAGCGACGCCACCGACGCCGCCGCCGACGCCGCCGACGACGCCGACGACGACGACAACCCGGCGCGGCGGCGGCGGCGGCGAAAGCGAAGGCGGCGGCGGCGGCGGGCCGGAAGCGCCAGAGAGCCACGGCGCGCGCCCCGCGCTCGCCGAGGGTGGCCGCCCCCAGCTCCCCGTAGGAAAAGCGGCCGGTCTCGCTCGAGAGCAGCACCTCGGCGGGCGCGCTGCGGCGGCCATCGGCGGCACGGGCGGAGCCGACGACGCCGACGACGCCAACGACGACGACGACGACGACGACGACGACGACGACCACTTTGCGACGACCATGTGGTCGAACAAGCTGATGCGACACTCATTTGTTTAATTGGGTCCTCCTTTTGAAGAGACAACGCCTGGCGTCTCCTCCTCTCCTCTCCTCTTCCTCTCCTCCTCCATCCTCCACCATCATCATCATCATCATCATCATCATCATCATCATCATCATCATCATCATCGCCCTCGTCGCGTTGTGCGCCCACATAAACATGCAGACACCACTCCGACGACGACTACTACTACTACTACTACTACTTTTACGAATACTACTACCATTACTACGACTACTACTACTACTACTACTACTACTACTACTACTACAACTTCTACTACTACTACTATTACTACTACTATTACGACTAGCACTACTACTACTACTACTACTACTACGACCACTCCTGCTACTACGACTACGATTAAACCACTACTACTAATACTACTACTACTACTACGACGACGACGACGACGACGACGACTACGACTACGACCAATACCAGGTTGACTACTACTACTACTACTACTACTACCATTACGACTACTACTACTACTACAACTACTACTACTACTACTACTACTACTACTACTACTACTACTACGACTACTACTACTACTACCACTACGACGACGACGACTACTACTACTACTACTACTACAACTACTACTACTACTACTACTACGACTACGATTACTACGTTTACAACTACTACTACCAACCACTACTACTACTGATGCTGCTACTGCTACTACTACGACTGCTACTACTACTGCGACGACGGCTACTACTACGACAACCACTACCACTACTACTACTACTACTACTACTACTACTACTACTACTACTACTACTACTACTACTATTACTACTACAACTACAACTACTACTACAAGTCCGACTAGGGCTACTACTACTACTACTACTACTACTACTACTACTACTACTGCTGCTACTACTACTACTACTACTAGCACTAACTACTACTACTACTACTACTACTACTACTACTACTACTACTACTACTACGACGACGACGAGGACGACGACGACGACGACGACTACGCCTACTACGACTACTACGACTACTACTGCTACGAGTTCGGCTACTACGCTGACTGCGACTTCTACCACTCATGCTAGTTACAGGAAGGCTACTACTACTACTACTACTACTACTACTACTACTACTACTACTACCACTACGACTACGAGTACGAAACTACTACTACTACCACCACTACTACTACTACTACTACTACTACTACTACTACTACAACTACTACAACTACTACAGGTACTACAACGAAGCAACCTACTGCTACTATTTCTACTACTACTACTACTACTACTACTACTACTACGGCTACTACTACTACTACTACTACTACTACTACTACTACCTACTACTACTACTACTACCACCACACCACAACCACTACACTACGACTACGAACCCCTGCTACGACTACTATGCTAGTACTACAACTACTACCTACTACTACTAATAACAAATACGAAACTAACTACTAACTACTACTACCTAATACAAACGACTACTACTACTACTACGACTACACAGACTACTACTACTACTACAACTACCAACTACTGCTGCAGCTACTACTACTACATCCTACTACTACTACTACTACTACTACTACTACTACTACTACTACTACTACTACGACTACTACTATGAATACGACTACTACTACGACTACTACGACGACGACTACTACTACTACTACTACTACTACTACTGCTGTTATGGCGAGAACTACTACGACTGAAACTACTGCTACTGTTTCTACGACTCCTACTCCTACTACGACTACTACTACTACTACTACTATTACTACTACTACTACCACTTGTACTACCACTACTACCACTATTATTATTACTGCTACTACTACTACTACTACTACTACTACTACTACTACTACTACTCTGACTACTACGACTAGTACGACTACTACTACTACTACTACTACTACTGCTACGACTATACAAACTACGACGACTACTACTACTACTACTACTACCAGGACGACTACGACCTACTACTACTACCACCACCAGCCACCACACTACCACTACTAACTACTACACTACTACTTAAACAGTAAAACTACTACTAACGACTACGACTACTACTTCTACTTGTTTCCACCTACTACGATTCTTAACTACTACAATACTACTACTCCTATAAACCACCCACCACCACTACTACTACTACTACTACTACTACTACTACTACTAACTACTACTACTACTAACTGCTACTACTACTACCACTACTACTACTACTACTACTACTACTACTACTACTAACTACTACTACTACTACTAACTACTACTACTACTAACTACTACTACTACTACTACTACTACTACTACTACTACTACTACTACTACCCTCTACTACTACTACTACCTGCCACAACCTGTACTACCACCCTGACCGCCACTACGACGAGTACTACTACTACTACTGCTACTACTACTACTACTACTACTGCTACTACTATAACTACTACTACGACTACTACGACTACGACCTCGACTAGACCTGCGACTACTACGAATCATAATACAAGCACTAGTACAAGACGATTCCTACTCCTACTCCTACTACTACTACTACTACTACTACTGCTACTACTACTACTACTACTACTACTACGACTACTACTACTACTACTACTACTACTACTACTACTACTACGACTACTACGACTACTACTACTACTAATACTGCTACTACTACTCCGACTACTACTACTGATACTAATACATATACTACGACTACTACTACTACTAGTACTACTACTACTACTACTACTACTACTACTACTACTAGGCTGAAAAACCTACGACTACCAACACTACTATTATTCTGATTACTACTACTACTACTACTACTACTACTGCTACTACTACTACGAATACTACTACTACTACTACTACTACTACTACTACTACTACTACTACTACTACTACTACTACTACTACTTCTATTCTTAAAAACTACTATTACGACTACTACGACTACTACGACTACGACTCCGACACGACCTACTACTACTACTACTACTACTACTACCACTACGACTTCTATTACTACTACTACTACTACTACTACTACTACTACTACTACTACTACTACTACTACTAAAACTACTACTACGACTACTACGGCTACGACTCCGACACTACATACGACTACGACTACGACTACGACAACTACTACTACTACTACTACTACTACTACTACTGCGAGTGCAACTACGACTATTTCTTCTACTACCACTACTACTACTTCTACAACTACGACGGCTACGACCACTACTACTACTACTAGTACGACTACTACTACCACTACTACTACTACTACTACTACTACTACTACTACTACTACGAATACT